AACAACTTAATGATGTAGGTTGTTATTTTGATAGAACAAATATGATTAATATTAAGTGAGTAATTGTTCCTAGGTTGACAGGCTGGTAAGTTCATAGGTGGCATTAGCTCTTGTGGAAAACTTGCATGTGTCAAGGTAAAAGCTGGTGTCAAGGGCATTAAAGAATTTTCTCTATTTAACAAAATATTGTACCAGATTTTAAAAACGTTTGACAATAATCTACTTTTGCAGAGTTTCTATCTGCTTATTGATTCACAATTAAAATAGCTTTTATAAGTAACTAATCAGAACTCTATCCACAAACTATTAAAAGCTCGGCGGTATAAAAATGAATAGCAGCGGTCCGAGAACGAATCCCTGAGGTACCCCACTCAAAACATCCCCAACCTTAGCTTTGCACCTAGGTTGAAGGTCAACTGAATTATCCAGTTCAATTTATCTTGTCCCACAAAAAAAAAGCACAGCAGATTAGAAATAGTAGTCTTATCAAGGAGAAAACCGTGCTGCTCTGTCAGAATAAGCTGTTGATTAACAAGAGATTGTATTAAATAAACATAAACATAAACTTGAAGCAAAAATAACGTCCTTTGATTTTTTTTTGTAGACTTTACCATTAGTTGTCACCAGTCCACAGCATTGATTTACATTCGATTAAGTATAAAACTAATTTGTGCCAATTAAACAAAATAATTATTATGTAACACGCAATAATTTTTTTTAGAAATAAATACACCTTTAAGGAATTTTTTTACAATAAAAAATTAAGTACCCCTATTTAATAATATGTACAAATAACGGGTGTTCAATTGAAAAATCACTCACAGTAGGCGTGATAGTGAGTGATATAACAGGTTATATTTCTACCAAGTGGAACACACATGCCGTTTGTGTCAAATGAAATTTCAACGCCTTCTGTGAGTGATTTTTCATTTAAACACTCGTTACAACTAGTGTACCTAAATAATATAATGATAAGAGTAGAGCAAACACTGACAAGTGACAGCAATTTTTGATCCAAAACTAATGCCAAAAGGTCAGTGGCGTTACAAGGAAAATTTTAACTAGGGGCTACTATTGAATTAGTTAAGTAGTTTTAAAGTAAACTGAAGAAATTTTGGAAAAGAAACTGTTACTCTTTATTTTTTTCAAATTTTTGATTTGCATTTTCAACCAAATCCCTCATCGCATGTTTTTTTCTGGACCATTTTATTCTTTGTTTTTTTCTTATTTCTTCTTTAGCTTTTCTGGTATAGATTTTCAGACGGTAAACTATCACTCTTGCAGTAAATTTTGTTCTGCTGTTGCAGCATGTTGGAAACTGTATTGAGCGATAAGTCGAATTTTTCCTAATTTCTTTCTTCATGACTTCCAAAACATTACCAGTGCCAAAATTATTATTCTTTAAATAATCTCTCAAATTACAGAATATTTGCTCTACTAAAATTGCTATTTGAAACGCGTTCTCTGAAGCGTAATGTAAAGCACCAGTTTTATATTCTTTTAATGCCACAAATTTTGCATAATTTTCATTACAATTATTCTTAGAGACCAAAGCAACAATACATTTTTTGCCTTTCTCTTCACATTATTAAGTATTATCTAGGTACAACCAGCTTCCTGTCTAAGTAGCTAAAATGTGTTGACCCTTCAAGGGTTTACTGTAAAATGGAGTCAAAGACAATAATCAAATTAAAACATACAATGAGTAAAACAATGTTGACAAAGATTTTGTTAAAGATCTCTTCATTAAAGTGAATATTAATGAACCAAGTGAGTTAAAGACGACAAGACTAGGGAAATTTGAGAAAACTACTGAACTTCGTTCTCGTCCAATAAAGATTATGTTGTCCAAAGAAAGTTTAGTATTGGAAACTATCCGTGCTTTTGGAAAATTAAAATCAACATCAGAGTGGAGTGTATTATCTGTGTCCCGGGATAGAACTCTAATGCAAAGAAATATCTATAAAACTGTTAAAAAAGAGAATAAGCCCGGGGGAGAGAAATCTTAAAATAAAATATCTACAAGGGATACCCAAAATTGTAGTATTTGAAGAAAATGAAAATAACACATCGGAAAACTAAAATCGCCCAACAAAAATTTCCCATTACTAGACTAGACATCTTCTACCAGAATGCACGAGGTCTTTGTTCGAAAATAAACCGCTTTTATAACAGTGTACTTATTAGAAGCATCATATTGTTATTATAACCGAAACTTGGTTAAGTAATTGCATATTCAATTCTGAACTCCGAATTATAACGTTGTGAGATCTGACAGGGAATTTTCAAGTGTAAATCGTTATTCTGATGGTGGTGTTTTAAGTTGCCTGGTTGATGATTTATTCCATTATCATACATCAAGGATCGGAAATATAGTTCCTTTAATTGATCTTACAATTTACAACATGTAATAATTGACTCATTTTCTTTTTACCTTATTGTGAGGTATATCCCTCCCGACACTAAAATTTATGATTTTCAGCTCTTCTTTGATCCCTTGGAAACAATTTTTCTAAATTAACATATTTTCCTAATGTAAGATTTTAATCTTCCTCAATTTAATTAGAATTCGTTTTCTACATTTCCTACTGGGAAATTAAATATCGTTTCGCAAAAGTTTTTGAGCAAATTATATTTCTGAATATCTCTACAAGTGTGTATTAATATTTATTGGCTAACCAAAATGGTTTCATACCAAGGCTCCCAAATTTTATCAAGCAAGCAAAACAAAGAGTTGACAACAAAAGACAAATTGACGTAATCTACACAGACTTTTCTAGTGCGTTTGCTGGTCTCAATCATGAGATACTTTTAGGCAAACTTTACTCTTGGGTTTTCACCCAATTTGTTGAGATTTAACAGTTTTTATTTGGTCAACAGAGTGAATTAAGTCTCTTGTAAAGGCCACAGATACAATGTTTTTAGAGCAACATCAGGCGTTGCGCAGGGATCTAACCTTGGCCATTTGCTGTTTGTTCTCTTTATTGATGACTTGCGCTGATTGTTGCATTGACGTTTTGGGATTTTCTGTTGCGTCTAAGAGCACATTAAGGGCATTATCATGAATTGTAGCAGTTTTTGGCCTGCCAGGTTTTGGACGTTGTTTAACACTTCCAATTTCAGTGTTTTTGAAATCGTCGACTTAGAAATCGGTTCTCGCTCAGGGTGAATTTCATTGAAAAGTGTTACCACTTCAGTAAAACTTCGTCTTTTGTCACCGTAACCGATAATAATTATTAATAATAATTCTAAAGTACCTACTTCTTTCTATGACCGTTTAACATCTATCGGAATTCGAAAGTAAACATTGTGGTAACCCTTTTAAGAAAATCGTTGATGACGTTACTGTGCAGAAACGGCTGGTTACAAAAATAAACTTTTAGGCAAAGAAGTGTCATTTGAAAAAATAAAAATGACCTGTCCGAGAATTTTCCAAGAAAAGGTCAATTAACGGATTAAATTAAATACATTCTTTACACTATAAACCGTGCCGAACCACGCATAATAAAACCTAACATTTTAGATAAGTTTGAAGTTAAGGTATCAATATGTTGTGAAAAAGTAAGATTTGCATCAAATATCACACCTAGATCTTTTATGTTGTCAACAAGTGTCAAAGCATTACCATTTACAGTGTAAGCAGACGCAATATACCTCATTTTACGAGTAAATCTAACATAATAACGTTTATTCCAATTGATCTTTAAACTATTGAGTGAACGATACATAGTTATCTTATTTAAGTTTTGCTGCAATTTTACTACATCTTCAAAATCCTTGATGGTGGAAAACATTTTTAGATCATCAGCAAAACCAAGAACATTACAAGTAAGAGAAGAAATCGGATCATCAATATCCAACACAAATAACAGGGGACCCAGGTTTGATCCTTGTGGGACCCCGGATGTTGACTTGTATTCACTAGATTTAAAGCCATTGTAAAAGACATAGTTAATCCTATTAGAAAGATATGATTCCATAAGCCTCACAAGCGAAGGAACAAGACCGAAAGCACTAAGTTTGTTTAACAATAAATTGTGGTCCACCGTGCCAAAGGCACTGCTGAAAACAGTATAACTATCATCTGTTTGTCTTCTTTTGTCCATTTCTTCAGCAATGTATTGTGTAACATTTAATAAATTATTGAAGAAGTATTGAAGAACAAAATTAGAGTCACTAAGATGGTAATTTATTTGTTTTAATTGTAGATATAGCTAAAAGTAGGTACCACCGTAGCTATATAAAAGACAAATATTATATTATTTTTGTCTACAGAGTGGTAGTGATGAAGATGTGACCTATCGAAACCGGTTCAGAGTAGTTAAAAAAAAAGAATTAGAGGAGAAAGCCTATTCATCTATTGGGTTATAATAAGTAAATAATATAATACCTTCTATAAAAATCTTTGTATTTAATTTTAAGCGTAAAAAATATTTCACTTCATACTAAATTTGTGTGGTGATGGATTAACAAATGTTGAGGTCAATGACTCAAAATAAGATGCGACCATCCAAAAAGGTTCAACTGAAACTGGTAATCTTATGTTACTTGCACACAAAGAATATCTAAATAAAGGTATGATTAAAAATATTAGGGACTAAAAATCTTATGAACATTTATAACTCTGACACTATCTATCGGTGGCTATAAATCGGGTACTCTCAGTTGAGAACACGCGGTTCCTATTTCGAATTATAAAAACCCTTGAAAATATTTTCAAATTGCACTAAACAGTTATTATTACCATTTTTTTGACTTTCTGGAGTCATCAAAGGCAACTTAAAAGACGACCTGAATCTCAAAACTAGAACAACTTTGACAGGCATATTTTAACAATGACAACGCATTTCTTCATCATACTTATTGCAAAAATAAAAAACTTGTATTTGTGACCACTAGACGAAGAGTGCCTTAACCCACAGTCAGCCAGATAAATACTGCCTACCAACGAAAGTGCAGCTACTTCTGTGCGTGGCATACGTAATACATGCGTGAAGCGATTTCGAATATCTCACATCCCAGAAAGCGTTTGAGTGGCAGTCACTTAAAGTAGTCCAATTCAGGACAGTCTTCCTCTGCGTTTCTACCGCATGCCAGGGCTCCATAGTTTTTGTTTCCTTTTAACAGGACAGAAATGTAAATGTTAACGGATTTAGACCAAGTTCACGTCAGTGCAGTCATGACGTACAACTAGACGAACAACCAAACATCGAGCAACTACTTGAGGTGGTTTATTACCGCAGTTTACTACCAACAGTTAAATTTTGAACTTCGGAGTAATGTCAAAATATATAAATCAGGTTGGCACAAAGGTATGTGTTACGTTTACATAATTTAAAATACTTATTACTAACAATAACAATAAATTATGCGGATGGATGTCATAAATATATGAAGGCATGTTATAATTTGAAGTGGATGCCGAATTTAATAATAGTAATAATAACAATAACGGTGTTTTTGAAAAGACGTCTGATAAAAACAAAAAACTATTTATTGTTACAACACCTATAATATCAGCAACAAGTAACTGTGGTGTATGCAGTAAACTGGTTTTCCCAAATTTGTTTTATTGTGCTACCATCTCCATCCGCACAACTTGGTAACTACTGTCTTTCGGAATTAATGCTAACAAATAATTGTTAAGCGTTAAGCAATATTTAACATGTTTTCGCAAAAAAAACGCTGTAAAAATTATTCAGTTAGTGAATCATGTAAAATTTCGTAATACTCAGCTACATAAAGATCTTTTATACAAATGTGAAAAATATGCATGTTGTGTGTCATAAAAAAATAAATGTACTAACATGTTAAATTTTAATGTACTACCTGGAATGATGTAAGTATGCAAGAGTAATGGGAAATAACGACTAATGTTTTTATTTTTTTCGAAAACAAATTTTGTGGTTTCATAAATTATTAAAATATGTATTGACGCAAGTAAAATGTTTTTTTCAACTCTGTTATTCCACTTAATGTCAACGAAAAATTTTCTGTGGTTTTACAATTTGTATAACATGGAAGAAAAAAATGCTGCTTGTGTGATGTCAAATTTAACCTTCATCTTGCCTCACTCACAAAATCAGTGAAGATTTATGTCTTCAGAATTATTTTTGGAAATATTGCATTATGCAACTCAAATTCTTCGAAGTGTGTACATTACACATGATGATATTGTTAAATATGTAGGTATAGTTATGTCATAAAACCGTAAAATTTTTTGCAATAATTTCTTCGTTTTATTGGAAAGCAGTTTTAAAGTTCATGGACTGTCATTGCCAGTTTGAAGCAGCTGTGAATACTAAATAGATTTAAACATGAATGAAAGTGTTTGAAGTGACGAATGAAAAAAAAATGGTCGAAGATTATTTAGACATGGCTATAAAATTTGATTTTGCTAATTTTGTTTTTGTTATGATAACCCCTATAAGTTAAATTAAAGATATTCATAATAAAGTAAAGGAATGCATGCTATTCACATGTTTTAAGCAAATTTTTCCGTTGCAAAATTTTCTAGTAGGAACACGTATATTAATTTGGAGAAATCGGGTGACCCATTCTTGACTTAATTAATAAAACAAACAGTTCTAAATAAGGTGTCACTCACAACAACCGTACACATCAATATATCAAAGAAAACAGTGGTTTGCTAACGGCTGTTCTGCTATCAGAGATTCGATTTTGCATTGATATAAACGCATTATTCTAAGAAACCATAAGCTCAGAACAGGAAGTGGAAACGACCACGGTCACAATTTGTTGGTGTTTGATAACTTGCTTAATTTCTTTAAGGTCGAAGGTTATTTACACCCGCTGGAGTACAATTTAAAATTAAAATTATTAAAATTTAAAAAAATTTAAAAATTTCTAAAAAAAAAAAAATTTAAGCAATAAGCGCTAGAACCACCACAACATTTTTGTCAAATTTTAGACACATGTGTCGTGTAAATGGTAAAACTCAAACCAAAATTTGTATGGTTTGGTATCAACACTGTAAAGACGTCACTTTAATATTTTCCTTAGGTATCATTCACTATTTAATGTGTTAATGTATTTCAGATGCAAAACAAATGTAATTTTTCTATATGATCTGACAGTGTGCCTCAATTAGAGACGCCAAAGTCTTAACTGAAAACTTATACACATATAAGTCATAAATCATGCGTACAATTAATTAGTTATCAGGTTTTGGAATAAAACGTTATAATTTATCATAAGATGTGTCTTTCAGTGACAACAAAATTACTCTTTGAATAACTTTATCAAATGAAGTATATTGTTTAAAACGGCTAATTAATATTACTATTATGTGACTAATGTATGTTAGTTTATCCTGTTTCTATACGGTACCCATTAACTCTGTTTCCTTTACCTCCTCATGAGCTGGTTGCATCCTTCCTCGATCAGATTTTTTTAGTTATATAGTATTAGTGAGTCATATATTCACAAAATTGCTGCTTAGCAATAAGTAAGTGACCATGTGATTTGTGGTCCTTTATGAGCGCACCATTAAGTTGTTAACAGCAGTAACAACATTAACATAAAATAATCAACAGTCTATCTTTATATAAAGTGAAACTACATACATGATAATGGTCACTCCGTACCAGTGTACTTTCTATGCAATTCATCCTCCTTATATGTCTGTTCGACCTTTAGCTTCAGGTACGACAAATTCCAACATTTCTCGTTTTAGGAGGTTTTTCTTCAAGTGAAAGCAAGAACTAAAATGGATTAAAATTTTTTGAATCATTGGTTAAAAGTAGTTGAAACTTTAAATGAATGATATTAGTTAGATTTTCTACTTACTAACTTTCCACACCATATTGGTACATGTAGGTACATAGACCAATATGGTGTATGTATGTATCATGAGTAGGTACTCATGATACATCAAAAATATCTGATCATTTATGCAAATTGTGTAAAATTTCTGGTTAACTTAAGCGATTTAAAACGCATCTAATACGTATGGCAACTTTATGAAAATATTTAGCCCATCCGATTTAGAAAAAAACTTAGCTGCTTAAATTTCCCCAGGGCACCAATAAAACAAAAATGTCATTAGAAACAATGATGCTCTATGGTATGGACCTCAAAATCACTCACGGAGTTCCGTAAGGGTCTTTTTTAGGGCAAGTTTTATTTTGAATCTACATGTATGAACTACCCCAATATTTAACCGATACTCCTTGTATACGGACTATACTACTACATATTACGTTTGAATTACCTACACTACTAATTATTGCAACGAATATGTACAGAAATTATTACGGCGAATTTCACTGGACGCTCTTGACTGTCTCCACTGGCTGAATAATCCATTCCCGACGGTCGCCTGTATTTAAACCCATACTTCTCCGATCGAGATCTTTCACGAACATCCATCGCGACTCCGCTTCGAGACTTCCGGTAACCAGCTCCAGAATTGTCTTTATGCGCCCGCCGCTCGACCGTCGATGAGTCACTGTTCATCGACACACATACTAGAAAAACTCATAGGCGTCGCACCGGGGAGGTTATGGGTTTATTTCGTAACACGACAATAAGTGGGACATCAGTTCAACTGCGTAAGACGATATTAATAAAAAACCTAAGGTGTTTTCTCCGGCTCCGGATTAGTTTATTGCGAACCAGCTCACTTGAAATTAAGACAAATTTCTAGAAGTAACGTTCTGATTAAAAAATAAAATGGCTTTTAGTTTTTCGCATGTTGAACATCACAATATTCCTCCACAAAAGGTAAATGCGGCGAAAATAAAGTCAACTAACAAACTAGGATAAATACATAAGAATACAACAGCTTAATGAAAATTGATCTGAGATTATTTAAACGAATCTTCGCTCGCCCTTAAAGTATGGTCCAACAAATCCCGCGTCTTCAAAAAGTAAATACAAGTTACCAAAGAGACAGACACTAGTTCGGTAATAAACCTGCATACCTAGGGGAAAAACTCGAGGCAGGTTAACAAACCACAAGTACAGGGTCCTATACCAGCCTTTTACTTTGTATTTTCGAAATAAAATGTACCTAGTCGACCGCAAAGTCACTTTGAAAAGTAAAAGATGCAAAGTGCAAACTTGTAAATCGTGGAATAGGACCTAGGTGTATCTTATTTTATAAAATTTCAATAACAATTGCTATGCATAATTTTGGGGTGATGTCATCAATGGGTTAGTGGGAATGATTAGGCGAATTTTGGTTTGGAATATGGAATATTAGCATGACGACGTTGCAGCGTAAATTCAACGACTATTCAAACAGCATTAGAATAATTTAAAAAATTGGATTTAGACAAGACCGAAAGAGAATTTTCAGTGGCGGTATGGGGCGGTTCTCTATTGAGCAGCCCCCCCCCCCCCCGCCCCAATTTTCTTCAAAATCTACTTTTCTCTCTTTTTCAATTGATAAAATGGAAAGATTGTTTAGTCGCCCTGAGCTCATTGTGGACCTTAAGGACGATTTTATCAATTTTAATTTTGAAAAGTTTCTTTCACATAAAGCCTTCGAAACAAATGGTTAAAAAAATCTTAGACACAGCGCTAGACTCGGAACAGACTCAGAGTAGCCCGATTTCATTATGAATCTGAAAAGTTGCCATATAGTCCAAGTGGCGCCTCACTGTATGTCCTCTGCAAAAAATTTATCGTAGATTTTTGTCACATTTGGAAATATTCCATGAACATTTTTTTTTGATGACGTTAGCAGTGGGATTTCTAAACTTACTGTTGCTGACGTTGCTTTTGGAGCTGAAAATTGTCATTTATAAACTCCTTTGTCAAGTTATCGTTTATAGTAACTTTGTTCAACTTTGATGTATTTAAAGGGGTTGTAGAAGAAAAGTGGAGTTGATTACTACAAAAATTTTCGACATCTTTTAAGCTTTTTGTTGTCGAGATAAGTCTACACATTCTAAGAAAAAAAGGCAAAGCGTAGCCCCGCCCACCCGCCCTATCTCAATTGTGATGATTTTTTATGCATAATCCTTATTTGTCTACGAGAAATTAAAAACATGTTTTCGAGTATCGTGTTGTTCAATTACATTTTGCCTTTTTGGTTTAATATGTGTACACTTCTTTTCACAACATGAAATTTAAAACATGTTTAAAATGAAAAATTTTATCGATTTTGCAATAGACTCCGCCCTATAATCGCAAAATCCATATTTCCTTGCAAAAACCATTTTAGCCATGTTTTAAGTTTCTTGTTATGAAAAGAAGGCTATGTATATTAAGAAAAAAGGCAAAATATAAGCGCCGCCTTGTCTCAATTGTGATAATTTTTTAATCGTCGAGAGCCAAAGGAGTGGAATTTAAATGCAAAATTCTTATTATTTGTCTAGAAGAAATTACCATGTAAGACATGTTTTTGAGTATCGTGTTATTCAAAGAATACTGTGTATATATATATTTAAAAAAAAAAACAAGTTAAAAATTAAGCCCCAGCTCAATTGTGATGAATTTTTCATTCATTGTCAGACCGAGGGGCGGAGCTTAATTGCAAAATCGATACTTTCCTACAAAAATTTACCATTTTAAACATGCTTTACTTTTCTTGTTGTGAAAAGAAGAAATAAGAAAAACGGGCAAAATATAAACCCTTGCAGTTATAATACCTAATCTGTTTTTGAGACGAATGGCAATAAATCTTGATTTAAACGTCGAGAACTAGTTTATTTTTATTTCACCAGCAGCCATGAAGCATGCAAATTTCAACTCATTTAGAGGTAGCAAATTCAACTTTTGCGACCACGGGTTCAAAAAGAAGATTGAGGTTATGTACATAATACTTGATGTGATTATTTCTTAAAAAATGAATAAATGTGTGCTACTAACATTACTTGAGTATACGTATGGTAGATGGTAGACGGTAGAAGATAAAATGATTAATTCAGCGACAAGTGTAAACGGTTTTCTTTTGTTGAAGATTTAGATTAAGTTTGATTAGAAATCAAAACAAAATCATGTTGCGTCAAAAAATTGAACGGTTATTTTCTTCAATTTATTGTCTTATGGTTTCTACTAGTGAAAAAAATTGTATATTAACCACGGTTGCAAAGCCACTTCTAGACCTCGCGCTTCAGAGCCCTCGACGCTGCGCGTCTCGGGGTCTAATTTGCGCTCGGTCTAGAATGCTCGGCTTTGCAACCTTGGCTAATATGGCTAATGGCTAATATGGATTATAACACCCGAAATCGGGATAAATTTATCACTCCCCATTATCGCCTACAGAAAAGCCAAAAGTGCTTGAAGTTTGACGCGATTAAGCTCCTTAACGTGTTACCGCCACACTTCAAAACCTTAAATACAAAAAATTTCAAAAGGGAAATAAAAAAACTTTTAAAAACCGAATGCTTTTATAGCACCGAAGAGTTTATTAACTCATTCAATGTATTATTGTAATAATCTACTATTCTCATATACACATTAATTTGTTTGTTATTTGTAACATGTGTTTATTATTGTATATTGTCATTTTTAAGCTTCTTGTCTGTTTTATTATACAATTTATCATGTATTATCCGACGATCCTGAACAAGCTGTACATTGTAAGGGTAATAAAGTATTATTATTATTATTATTATTATTATATACTATTTTAAGTTCACCAACGTCGCAATTTCCTACAAAAATATAGGCGGCAACGGGCGCTAGTGATTTTTTAGGGAGAAACAAATTAAAAAGTGATTAGATTTTTCTGCTTCTGTCAAAAGTTAAGAGTTGTTTTCCTTTGTAATTAACTATAACACATGTAGAATTTGCGGAATAAGTGATTGACGATAGAAAAGATTGTGTGCACCTTCAGCACGTTGATAGTTTAACTAACATTTATAGCGTTCTTGAATTTTAACCTAAGAACTCTGGACTGCTTGACAACACTCATACTTGAATAATGCTCTAAATAAAATGCAGGTGAGGGAAAAATTTATTAAAAATTAAAAATGAGAACGAGAAGTACTAGAGACGTCTATTATTTCCAGATCTGACTCATCACATGACGAAATTAAAAAATCAGAGTCAGAGTCGTCAGCATTTTCCGCCAAGTTTTAGTTTGAAAAGTGACAATTTGCGGAAAAATTGTGACAGATTTTAAAAATAATCATTGCCAATTTGTGCAACAAAAAATACTAACTCAAAGGGATTTTTTGTTATGGCAAGTGCAACCAACAAGTGGTGGACTTTTAAAAAGAAAATAGAGAATAATATCTTTAATAATACATTAGTACTGACAGAAAGCTATAGTGTAGAAAATGATGGCAGGTATTTAAAATAGCAAAATTCGGTGTGAACAGGTGATTAAATGGCTTAATATTAGTGAACCCCATTATCTCTATCAAAATTTGATTTTCGTGGAATTAGTGATGTCAACCAGAAAAATGTCCCCCGTGCTTCAGGGGATTTTCCTTCAGGTTGGCAGCACTGCAGGCTACCGCAATTTGGTTGGTTGAAAACCTAACGTCAACGTCGAAAGTTAAAAATTGGTCATCTCGAACGTCACCCCCACGGCGTGCCAACTTTCAACAGCAACGTCAACGGATGATATAAACACTAAATTTTACGAGAATATCATTCACTGCTCTGTAACGATGGTCTAGTTCTTCGTAAAATCTATCAAGACATTATTTTTACTTCCCACGCGTAATCATCAAGTACGTCGACTGACTCTCTACTTTTACATTTTCTCGACCTTTCACGACCCCTAGAGTACGAAGAAATGGGTCTCCTGTTTCCGTCTGTCTGTCTGTCTGTCCGTCTGTCTGCCGTCCCGATTTTTTTTTGTATGTTTTGCAGAGTGATTCTGCTGTAAATATTCTCTGAGTGTGCGAGTTAGTAGTCGTTGTCACCCCTTAGTGCTTGGTACCCCACCGCTCCTTCTTTACGCCGTCATTGTATGTAAATATCATTTGATCTGAAGATAAATTTGCAATTTCTCGAATAAATTTATTATTTGTGTCGAATTGTTTTTCTTAGCTGTCCCTCTCTAATTGTAACTGAAAGTAAAAGTGAACTGCTTAATTACATAATACATATAAATAAAAAAATGTATACCTATTTTTTTAATGGTTAATTTTTTTCAAGACCACCAAGATGACGTTAGTTATACCTAACAACAAGCAACAGATCTATATTCGGGAAACCCTAAATGAAGACCTCAACACTCGCGACCGTGACCTCGAGGCCATCAAAACTTGGTTACGTCAAGAACCGCATCTGCCCGATACCTGGGGTAAGTCTTATTAATCTTATAAATTATAATAAATGAAGCGAGATGAGTGAAAATCTTTTAATGTTCTTCCGTACAGACGACATATGCCTCCTGAATTTTCTCAGAGGATGTAGCTTTTCAATTGAAAAATGTAAAAGAAAATTGGATATGTACTTCACCATGAGAGCCGCCGTTCCAGAGTTTTTCACTAATAGAACGATCATGAACCCAGGAATAAAAGATGTGATCGAAAAAACGTAAGTTGTTCCAGGTTAAAGGTTTTATTGTTGCACATATTGTTACTGAGTACCATTATATCAAATTTTTAGACAAAAGCAACAAGAGGTTTTTATACACCTTGGAGTGTAATTAATTAGAGAAGAAATTAAAAAAAGTGAGCCGGCAGATGTTGACTTTGTCTTATTAATTATAATAACATACTATTAGTTGAAATGAGTTCTCAAACTTAATGACTTCACATTTGGACACATTTTTTTAACATTTTTATTTTATAGTATTTGAATTTAAATTAGAATCAGAAGCAACACTAATATTAATTATTTTTAGGAATATGATTTGTCTTCCGGGATTAACACCCGACTGCAAGAGAGTGAACATCGCTTGCAATGCCCTGGCATATGAATCCATCAGCTTTGCAGATGCGACTAAACTTATAACAATGATAGGTGATGCCAGACTTTTACTTGAAGAGCATGGAGTTTCTGGTGATGTCTACATTCTGGACGCTGAACTTCAGCTTCTCAAACCATTTATAAAAAATTCACCCATTCTCTTCAAAAAATTTTTTATTTGTGTACAAGAAGCTTATCCGGTGAAAATTAAAGAAATCCACATCATCAATCCTAATTCCTTCGCGACTATTATATTGAACGCAGTACGACCATTCTTGAGCGAAAAAATAAGAAATAGAATACACATTCACCACACAATGGATACTTTGTATAAATTTGTTCCGAAAAGTATGTTGCCTGACGAATATGGAGGTACTGCTGGAAAATTGCGTGACTTGAAAGAAAATTGGTTAGAAAAAGTAAACGAATTTAAGGAGTGGTTTAAGGAACAGGAGCATGTGGTAGCGAACGAGAGTAGGAGAATTGGACATCCGTTAAATAGTGAAGATTTGTTTGGAATAGAAGGAAGTTTTCGACAGTTGACTATCGACTGACGTTACATAAGTGATTAGTAGTAATATAACGGAGATAGTTAATTTATAGAGCGAAGACTAGAATCGGTTAGCGGATCTAAATCGATATTTATATCGGCACCTGTATTTAATTTGTATTAAATTTTTTACCAAAAGCATGTTTTTAATTTTTCAGCTTGACAATTTACGCAGGAGAATTATTTTGGTAGCTCCCTAGGAAGTGCTTTGAACTAAATTTCATCACAATCTCATACTAATACTATTATGAGGTACTATTGAGAGGACTTAGCTTAACCGGGCCCAGGTCTTCAGATGAATTCATAGTTCCAGTTTATATGTTTCCATTCATTTGGGTTTTTCTTTCTTTTCATTTGATTTCGGGAATCTCATGTATCTTATTTATGGCAACTCCCAGATCATGGAGCTTTGATTGAACTAACACCGCTTCCACGTCACATGATCTTTAGAATACGATTCATGTCCTGCCAAATGAGGCCGGAAGTCGCGGTTTTTCTTCTCTCTTGAACTGCGGACCAGAGTTTAACATCTGTAGTTCCTGATTCCATTCTTCCGTGATAATTGCAATTTCCTTATTTTAACTTTAGCCTTTGTGAGATAATCTTCAGTTATTACAATTCGTGACGCTGTGGATATGTGTATTTTGTTGTATTTGTAAACAAATGGTCATCTCCGCTAATAAAGGCACATATACGACCCATTCTGGTGTCGCCATTGTGAATTACTAGGTTATTAGATTAGATTAGATTTCAGGGTGTCTATAGTAATATGAACCTATGAAACTTTCCTCCCTTGTAAAGTTAGCTAAGTGTTTAGGAGCTGCATCAATTACTTGAGAGTGCGTTAGTTAGGACCAATAAATAGATAACCTTTGGCTTTGCAACCCATGTCCTACTATAGAGTTGGTGGCATGTTCACAGCACTGCTTTTCCTAGTTTACACTAATGATAATTGACGACTGTAAACATGTGAGAATATGTTTGTGTTGGAACAAAAAGCGGTGGTTCCAAATCTTTGAAAACTATACATTTGGTACTATTTCCTGAAACCTTTTGGTATCTTTTTTCATACACTGAAACACTGACTAGCTTTGTCTGCCAATTTGTAAGATCTATTCTAGTTCTGTATTCAATCATCAATCATGTATTCAAGGAAAAACCGTATAGGTCCTTCTTATGTTCGTTTTCTACTCAGTCTTGCTATTGTGAATTGAGCTCATATAGTATTGTTGGTTGTCTATATAATTTTAAGCTAATAACGGTAAGCAGTCAAATAAACATACAAGTGTTCTGAATATTATTATTATAATCCTTACTTATTCATTATTAAATAAAGAGCTGCGTATTCTCACATTATGGAGAAAATTGTATGACACTTGGCAACGTCTTCAAGATTTCAAAGCATTCGATTTTGCAGTGCCTGATTTAATCTACAAAATAATTTGACTCATTCATTAATTTTTTTGAGTTACCTTTATAACCAGTTCTAAAATAAAGTGGTAACGGACTCTATAGGCAGCACAACTCCGCAAGTACGAGTGATAAGTTTTCGTTGTGCAGTATTTCAACATCACTGATGAGTGTTATTGTTGTGTACGTGAAATATTGTAAACAACAAATCGGGTCCAACTAGACAAAGAAAGTCATAAAAATTCTCGATTCTTCTTTTTTTGGTGAACGGATGAACCAGCGTAAATAGCCCCTCCTACCCCCCAAACCCCTGAGCAATTATTTTATCATAATTAAATACCTCTATTTTCGAAAAAATATTGAGATGACTCGTTCTTAATTAGATCAATAAACAATCCTGTGATAACGTGATTAACATCCATTATTCCATGCATATAGGTTAAGAACCAATCATAATTGAGATGTAGCTTGGACAAAAAACGGTGTTTTCAACCTGACATACCATAGTTACGATCATGTCAACAAATTAATATTTTGACTTTGCCAAGAATTGTCTCGTACAAAAAGAATTAAAAATAGAGAACAAAATTGTTTATAATTTTTGATTTTAGTACTAAATACATGGAAAATACAATCCGTAAGATGCATATTTTTATGATTCAGACTTTTATTATTAGTAAACTCAGTTTGTGTTGTTGCGCAACCCAATTCTCGTTTAGCTAATAAATCGTCTGAATTATCACAAATATTCATCCTACTCAGGGTACTACTATTGATAATGCTACTCATAGAGTATTATCGATGCAAGGGAGAAAAAAAAGAAACGGCGAAATTTGACACTAAACGTACGACCGCAAATCGGCGTTCCCGTCGGTATCAAACACGACTACGAGAGCTTGTATCCGGTGTTGGTTGTAAAATGATATTATACTTTGCAAATGTTTTTGCGAAAATTTGGTTAGGGAAAAAACTCAAAAGGGATTCGTACACCACACTGGTAGGAATATATTGTTATATAACATATACAAATTTTTAAAATAGAATGCTTTGAAATAACATCATCAGTTTGTTGGTGGAGATGATTAGCCAAATTCGTCGAAAATTACTTCTACAGAACTTGATTTTGTGCGAATTTTATTGTTTTTTATGGCAACCCTTACAAGCTAAAATAAGAATATGTATCTAATATGTGAATAAAAGTAAAGAAACGTGCTAACCGTTTGTTACAAGTGAGTTTTTCTATTACAAAATTTTGTGTTGATGTCATCCATATTTTTGCAAAGATGCATGTATCAGTTTGGATAGATGCATTGTAATACTAATAATAAAAGTATTGTATTATTGTTATTCTTGAATAGTGGTTATATGTAATACCAGAGGTGTGATTAAAGACTGAACTGAAAATAATTTATGGTACTTGTAATTTAAGACAAATAGCGATAACACGTATCAACCTGTAGACGTGAGAGTGAAACAGAAACTAAACTAAAAGATGTCTTCTAGGTATTGCAATAACCGGATCACGATGTCGACGGTCCAGATTTTTTATTTCTCTGACTTCTGCTTAGATATAAGGGAGATTTAGCACCCCCTAGCCTCCCCCTAGCATCCCCCTAGCTACGACCTTGTCTAGGGGTTATGAAATATCGAAGATATGACCCGATGGACTCCATTACTGTACGTCCTTAGCTTGTCCTTATTATTATAGAAAAACAACTTGAAATTAGTTTGATTTGAATACAATCAACAAAATGTTCTGAATATCATTATTATAATTCTTATTAAATAAAGATGTTTATTTTCACATTTTCGGGAAAATTGACTCGTTCTTAATTTGATCAATAAAAAATATTAATGCAATGATGAATCACAAGTAAAAACTCATCACATTTTGCATATTTTGGGTAGAATTTATTCGGCAAAATTTTGAGATAACTTCATCAATTTTTTGAGGGAATAAACAGATTTATTTTGATTAACAATTTACCATGCTTACAATGACTTTAAAACGTCTGCAAGATTTCAAAGCATTCAGTTCTGCAATTTTTGATTTATTCAATAAAATAAATTGACTGATTTATTAATTTTTTTGAATCACCCTGTATAAGCAAACCTAAAAAATATGAATGCAATGATAAAATACAAGTATAGACTGATCACATTTTACACATATTAGATTTTGAACTGACGTGATCAATTTTTTGTAGGGGATAACTAAATATATTTTGATTAAAAATTTATCATGACTATCATAACCTTAGAACATCTGCAAAATCTCAACACGGAGTCATAAACTGCATATGTAGGACTATGTTACTTTATACAATTCGCACTGTGAGAGCAATACTCACGTAACTCAAAACCAGCGTGTTTTGAGTAATGATGATTTAAAATTCCCAAGTTTTTATATATTATTTGTATCTTAAATACCAAAGGCTTCGAAATACGTTATAGTCGTATTGTCAATCTATTATTATTAATCGTGTTTTTATTCCTTTAGAGTAGAACCTTCTACTCGTTATAGAAAACAAGAAATTTTGACTTACGTGACTATTGCACTGCTACACCATATCAAATATTTTGGCTTGCGTGTTAATAAATTTAAGACAAAAGCAAACTAGTAGCACATTGTAATGAAAAAAATATAACAAAACACAAAACGATCACAGTATTAATTCATTCAACATCTACACTGGTCGGCAAAAAAAAACCGGCCACCCTGAAAAATTTCCCAAACCACTTTAAAACTTATTAATTTAACTAGTGATGGTTATTTTATTAAAGAATCATTCACTATTGACACATGATGTACAAATTAGCACAAAAAAGAAGACAATTAAACGCAGAATTAAATTTAATTTAATAAAATAACAGAAACAGACCAAGTACGATATTTTCTTAAAAAAAACAATGAAGGAGGCTGTTGTTGTAAATAGTGTTTTTCATCATTTGATTATAAGTTTCGCAATTAATAAACGTTTTCACGCGAAAATAATTCCGTTAACTCTTACAGACGTCTTTCAAAGTGTCGCTCTGTTTCTGTTATTTTGTTAAATTAAATTTAATTCTGCGTTTAATTGGCTTTTTTTTTGCTAATTTATACCTTATATGTCAATAGTGAATGGTTCAACTTTGATAAAATAACGATCAATAGTTAAATTAATAATTTTTAAAGCTTCGTTTTGCGAAATTTTTCAGGGTGGCTGGTTTTATTTTGCCGGCCAGTGTACTATGGCTAAATTGTTATAAAATGTGTTATAATTTTATTTAATTCGTTTTTTTATACATAAAGGACCTTTATAAATAATGTTTAATCATTTTCATTTAAGTCTGATGCCGCCGTTGTCGTGATGTTCAGGAATTGATTGACTATTATTTCTTGATATACTTCCTTTCTATGCGAAGTTACAAAATTCCATCGTAATTTTTGACAAATTTTAAATTTTTTATTTCGCTCTAATTAACTTTCCTACCCTTCCTATTCAAAGAAAAATTGATTTCCAGTTTTCGGTCAATTCTTAACTATGTCAGAAGACATTGTGCATTTGTTGTGTTCAATTTGTACCTAAATTAGTAGGAGTATCAGATTATCAACATCGACTGAAATCTCATAGCTTCATAGCTTACTTGCATTTCACTTAGTTTTGAGATACGGCAGTCTTGCATTGAGTGCACACGTAATGTTCGGAAATACAATACAAACATTTTGATGAATTTGAGCATTACGC